ACATTATTGCCAGTGGGTTTCAGAAATGCGTTTGATAAGAAGTCTGAACCAAAACTTATCCTGTTCTCAAATCTCGAATTAACTATATGGACGAAAGCCTTCAAGTAGTAGTGTGACATAAGGTCCCATATTAGGTCGTCTGCCAATCGAACTATAAACTAACGATCTGTTGTAGCGTTATGAATCATGATGACCTACGGCACATCTGACTACCTTCTGGAACACTTGATTATGTTTAGTTTTAACACATATCTCAGATGATACTCTTGGAAAGTAAAAGTACAATACGGTAAAACAGATTGTGGGGATACCTCGTACCCTTCACGAATAGTCAAGTCTTGAAATTCCCTACTAGCTGAGATAGTTCGAAAATCTCTTTAGGAATTCTTATAGAGGACGCTTTACGAACGGGAAGTATAAACTTAACATGATTCGCATTTCTCAAATTTTTGCTGTGCTTTCACGTAACATAAGTGCCATCTTTGATGCAAGGAGTCGATCCTCAACTTAACGTTCTATTTTGAATTTCATTCGAATTACTAGTTGACAACGGTTTCGCATCACCTTACTATCCTGTTTTTGTAATATTTTACGTTAAAACGTTATTTTTAGTCAGTGATCCTTAAAAAAAGCAATCCTAGAACGGACGAATGAATAAAGACTCGAAACATTGATGGAGTAATCACTAACACCAGTGATGAAAATCAGTGCCACCATAACATCGGTGCCAGGTCCTATCACTAACCTTTGTTACCCAGTAAAGACTATCCAAATGCAACTGTAGCCCTCTGAAAGTTTAACGTAGGCGTTTTGACTCGTTGATAGAGTTTAGAAAGGACTGAAGATTACCATCAATAATGCTGAACGGCCCAGATCTTGTAAGACAACCAGCTAATGAACCGGCCATTCGTTCTACTCCTAGGGTTGTCCAAACAGTCACGAAAAGGCACGGGAATCTGGACCATAACTCATCGACCAAGCCAAAAGGACCCTGACCCCAGCGTATCAATAACCTGGAAATCCAGTGAACATTTGAGATGAACCCCTAACGATCATGAACCCTAAAGACTGTTCTTACGTTCCTCTCAGTTTGCAGAACAAAAACGATGGTATGATTATAGAAAACTTCAACAGGAAGCTAGAACTTCAAAAAATGGCATCATTAACGATCATATGACTCAGCTGAGGGAAATATACCAAACACCCAGACTACCCAAGACCTCTACATGTAAAGTTTATTAGCTCTGATGATGTTGAAGATATTCTGCGGGCTTTTCACCTGTTAAAATCAAAAGCGGATTTAAGTATACTTCCAGTTATACCATATCCTGAACGCAATCTCGTCGAGAACATCTCGACAGAATCTCGCTAGACTTTTTTTCTCGAAGGAAATATCATTAAGCAGGACACCTTCAAAAATACAGACCCCGATAGTACAGTCTACGATATTCTACAGTGGGAGTTCATAAAGCTGTTCTTGAATATTTTGCGCCAATATGTGATGCGATTAGCCAAATTATGCCGGACTCTGACCAACTATGATTGCCTTCCCCTCTTCCAAACGAGCGACTGCTATTCTTGTAGCATTTCATGCTTATGTGCTCCAGTTACCAGCTGAATTTAGCATGTATCCAGGAGGGCCATATAATGCAAAAATCAGGCACGAAAATAAGTCGGAACTGACTACTTCACTTGTGGACTGTTAAAACAAGGAAAAAACGTAAAAAGGACATGGAATACTGACTCAGAAAACCCTTTGTAAGTAGGTCACCTGTTCAATCATATGAAACTCATTCAACCAAGCAGAACGAGGACGCTTATGCATTTAAAATTGATAGTATAAACTGTTTATACACAGACGCTGTGAGTTCACCAAACGAAATGGATGAGTTGAGTAAACTAAGTAACACTTAATATGTTTATCGTATATCGATGCCTGAAACATGAGGATCTCACATCACGGGTCAGGAGTTTACAGTATTTGGCATATCTTTGTTTCACAACGACAGGAGAACTGGAATTTTGGGTAAGGCAGTCACGCACCTACGATCCTTCTAAGTAGAACATCTTGATGAATCTAAGTGGTGCTCAAGAAGATTGTTCAATACTTCAAAGTGTCTAGTTGAAGTCATCTACAAAAACCCTACTGCTTACACTGAACACGGCAATCGTTTGATGGAGGAAATATCACAATTTGTTACTTTGTGAAACACTCAAATCCCGATATTGAGAGATTGGTGGCATTGGTTCCTAATCATGTAACAGTTGAAGCCGAACGTTGGATAGGTTAGAGAACCCACATTATATATTGAACAGATACGGTGATTACTCTGCCATAACCTTCAATTTTATGAGCGGAACTGAGCCGAAATGTTCCACTAACAACGGGCATTAGAATCTCAAACGTTTGGGTTTCTCACCTTAATAGGACTGTATAAAGCAGATGGACTGGGAAGTCTAACCGCAAATTGAAGTGGACGCTAACTGGAATTTCTTGCTGCACATGATCTTACATCCTGCTTGACAGTCTATTCTGAAAACGATCCCTGAAAGTTAGAAGCGACGTACAATCATAAGGAATCTAACCCACCAGGACTGAGACAGTGCTAATGAGAGGAATTCAGATGAACATGTGACGACAGTGCATACAGACAGCTAAAAGACGCGAGTAAGAATCGCGCACAAGTGATAAGAGAAAACGAGCTATTTGATAAATTCGTCTTCAATCTGCAAACTTTATCCCGTCATGCGGCCTCTTTTTGACGACCTAAGCCCGGAGTTTCTCAGCTGCTAGTTTCTAATTAGCAGACCAGAAAGGGTGGTGATCCTGAAGAGTTCCTGGAAGAACGCTATTTTCAACCATTCCAAGCGTCACATAAGGACCACATCGATAATAGCTTCACTGAAAACCTAAGAGTAGTCTTAGGAATGAACCTAAATGCGAATTGGTGTGTCAGAAACTGCAGCATCTTATCAGTGACACTTCTCCCAACCCAGACATGATTCGCCTCTTTATAATGAGATAAGAAGCTTCAAACTTGGTAACGCCATCTTTTGGAATGTTTTCACATTCGTTAAGCCAAGACACAGTACCAGGTAACAGAAAGCTAATGCACATCACACCAATTTTCAAATGAGGTTAACACAATCAAACTTCAAGCTACCATTTGGTAACAATTATACCTATACCCTAAAAAGCTACACAGTACCTAATATACAGCGGTCTATCACCAAACTTCTTTTCGCCAGCAATAACACAGTTTCAGAAAAGGCCAGTCCTGTAGAATAAAAAACACTGACTGTGGTGGACAGGTGGACAACCATTTATGATCGCAAAGCGAAGGTTGATGTTATATATCCCAACTTGTCTCAAGATTTTGGCAGGGTTGTTGACCCAGTTCTGAGTCCGATTTAATCGTATTAAGATGCTATGTAGATTAAGCTTTCATTCAATTCCGTATATTACCAAGGCTAATCCTGGTTGTGTCATGGTGGTAGTAAGAAAGCGATTAGTGGTCGGTTGGAGGAATTTACTTCAAGCACTCGTTTATCAAGGAATAAGAAGAGGGGAAACGAAGAAAGAGCAAAGCGGAGAAGGCATATGCGAGTCAACTCGAGTGAATCAAGCGTGACTCGAAAATTGTAGCCAGACAAAAATAAGTCACAGACACCTGATGCGTAGGATGAACAATACACACACATATGCTCATATAAAACAGTCGAGACTAGAAAGCAAATAATGGACAAGGTCAAAATGTGATTGGAGAAGAATGAATAGACTAGTCTACTCGGAAGCTAGAATAACCAATGTAGGTTTGACATGGCACCAGACACAATAGCGTAAGTCATATATCTCATCAATAGGCTCAAACTACTAGGTATAAATTCAGTATTGGTGAACTGGTTTATTTCATATCTAAATAATCAGCCTTTTTGTGGTAAGGGTAAATTTCTATTTTTGTCAGGCTACGGAACGTCTCAGGAAGTTACCGCAAGGCTTAGAAGTAACACCTCTTCTCTTTATCATATTTATAGGTGGACTTTCTAAACATGTATCGTTTGGATTATTGCTTTTAGCCGACGATGTCAAACTTTGGGAGAAGTATGCATCCGGGATTATGAGCTGGCACTTCAAGAGGATCTGACTAGACAGATAACAACAGATTTACTTTCAATCTCAAGATGTAAAGTGGTTCATCTGAGCCATCGTGCAAGATACCCATACAACTTAGGCAACTTCTTTTTGGAGGTGTCCCAATTTGCAAAAGACAAAGGAGTTTTGGTACTATATAATCTAATGCATTATGCTGTGACAAAAATGCTTTACGTCCAAACTTTTACTGGTAACACCGAAGCTTATTTTTGGCTAGTTCGACGGCAGAACATTCCACTTAATTTTCGAAATTTTCATTAAGCCATATCCAGAATATGGAAACATAATGTTACCTCCCACAGTCCCAAGGGATAAGGATATACTGGAACACAACATAATGTGATCAAGGAAATTCAATCGAGGACTCTTATATAAACATTATGAAGAGCGCCCTAGATCATAGAGTCTTTACGAGTTAGATTATGGGCGTCTCGTAGGTAACATCATAATGAATTATAGCATACTAAATACTCCTGGGCATCCTCTTAGATGCCTATTCAAGCTCAGTCCCAACACAAACCTTTGAGGCGACACCCAGAAATTAGAGACGCAGGTTGGTAAAACGGACCATACTCCGATCGCTTACGAACAGTCGAACCCCGTAATATGGCACAGAATGAGGTGATCCAAACGACTTTCCAGTTGAGTTTCAAAAGGAATTTTGATACGTCCTTAAGGACTTGGGACATTATTTCGCCTTATTTTACTAAGATTTCTCCTTTGCCACTTAAATATACCTAGGTTCCTAGCTGGAGGCATTGATTATCTACCGCTACCAGATACAGAAGCCCGTTAAGCGGAAGCTTCTTATATTCCATCCACAGCGATATGACTATCAGTAGGAATGCTTGAAATTGACCTTGTATGCCGAGGTAATCTAATTCGTTGCGCTACCATCACAAAACATTACGTACCTGTGAGTGGTAAATGCATGTGAACCACAAACATATAAATATTGTAAAGATTAACGAACACTTCTAACATTTTGATGATTTTAAAATAAATTTTAATCTCGTGGTGGAAAACGTAGTCTCAGTTGAACGTGTCGCATTGTTATGATAATGCTTCTACAGCCTGTTAGAGAAACGTTTTTTTGAGATTTCTCCGCAATCCTTCACTATGATATATTTGCAGTATAGGGCTCCAGAATCGCCGGTTGAGGTTGCATTATGATTTAAATTTGTGACTCATGTAGAGAGGATCAAAGTTATATTTTCAAATGAAGAGGTACTATGAAGAAAAGTGATAAATTTAGGGACTCACAAACTAATAATGAATCTGCAAAGAGCTAGTAAGACAAAGTATCTGAGTTAATATTTTTTGCAATGAGTACCCGGTATTTTTTTATAACCTAAGCTACCGAAAAAAGGGGAAACAAACTCGAACAAAGGTAAAGTAAGAGAGGAACGCGCTAAAAAGTTCTCCTTTCCGCCTACCGTGCGAAATTCTCCCTCTATTGGTTGTATATATATACACTTATTTTTCAGGTAAAAATGTGCAATTCACCAATTATCTGAAAAGCTAACTAAGCCTGAGTAAAATTACAGCCACACTTTCTTTTCATAAAAAATTCCAACTTGCTCAGTTCTTCCTCACTTCTACTCAGTTTAAAGACTAAGATGACCACGTCCCCTGTTGTTTGTCCATTAGTCATCATATATGCAGAACTTTGAGTTAGTACTCTAAAGCCGAAGTTCAAGATGCTTCATAGTCTCTTTTTACCCGTAATTACCCAAAACGTCATTTGTCAAAATAGAGTATGTAACTTTTACGAATGTGCAAGTTGTGTTTTGCTCGGTCAAGCCAAATGTTCTCAGTGAAATATACTAGGTGTATACATTTTGTTTGGAAGTGTTTTTGGGTTTAACGGATTGTCATTTGGCAATATTTCCATATTTTTTATTTTGGTCGATTTAAACAGTTTGTGTTAATAGTTAAAATTTCAAAATTCATAAATAAAGGCAATTTAGGAAAAAATTAGTTAGAGGTGTCGGTCAACTCATATTTTGTATAAAAAATGACGAACTTTAACATGATAGCCTGGATGTACATCAGCTACAAATGCAATAATAAAATGTATGCTTCAAACAAGTCACTTGGTTTGTGTGTGTGTGCTGTGATACTGCCCAGGTGCCCAAACCGAGGCAAGTGATTTTCTTAGGAGGCTACACTCAGAGCCTTTGACCTAAAGGTCTGATCCACAAAGCGGTGGAGCAGCTTTAGGAGATGCAGGCCCATGGTAGCCTGTGACGAACGATTAGTTCATACGCCATTTGTTCACTCAGAATCCTGGAGCCCATGTGCACCATTGGTTCGAAATCAGGGTTTTGCAGCTCCTCTAGGTGAACCCTCCGTGTCCACCAACCCGGTTAAAGTACCGGATATCCGCTTTTTCATCCTCTAAATTTTGTAACCAACACCGCCATGAGAAGACAGTGAGTAGGACTTCCCTGATAGTTGTTGTATACGCGTGGCCATGTGAGAGCATTTGGTGAGGGAGAGCGGACTCTCCCCATCCTCGACCGTACCAGGGCTTTTGGGGGCTCCCCAGATCAGAGAAAGCCTTAGCTTTGAACCTAGAACTTAACGGTTGGAAGTTGGTCTTAACCACTAAGTCACTGCTTAGAAGTCTACAGCGATAACAGATGCTTTAGGATAGTAATAGTCTATGATTCGACGGGGCTAATTGTCACTACTATTTGTCGACCATAATTTTTTTTCGAATGCTTGTGAAACCTGGCTTCCGAGTTGAGGACGTTAGACGACTCTGTGTTCGATCATCGTTGTCTCCGAAGGATTGCTGACATCCAGTGGCAACACCATGTTAGTAATGCAAAGGTTCGGCACCGTGTGTTCGGGCACAGAGACGATAATCCAATAGGTGTCACCATCTTGAAACACCGAATTCGGTGGCTTGGACATGTTCTACGAATGTCGTCCCAGAGAATTCCACGTCGTGCATTATTTGCCGACTCTGGGACTGGTTGGAGAAAGCGGAGAGGTGGTCAGTATATGACATGGTGTCGTGTTATGAAAGAAAGCTGCAAACGACTGGCTTGTGTTGGTCCTTCACGACTCCCTGGTTGGGGTCCTAGAGATGGTGCAACACAATGGCTAGAGACGTTATCAGATATGGCTCAGAATAGAAGCCAGTGGCGATCCTGCTGGGACCTTCTTTTACTTTCTTCATAAGAAATAGTTGTATCTCCCTTAACCGAAAGATTTCTTCTGATTGTACCTTTCCGTCCCCCCGTTGTTACCATTATTGTTATTTCACTACCTTACACCAATCTCTTATTGTTCTTTCTTTTTTTAACCCTCCTTACCTTTTTTCTCTTTCCTTATCTTTAAATTCTCATTGTTTTGTGTGGCGCATATATATTTGGCGCACTCTTGTACCAATATGTATGTGTTCAAATAAATAAATAAATAATAAGTAATTTTCGAATGATTTAGTGACCATATCACCTATTTGTAGGTTGTTGAACCCAGTTAATGGGTCAGTTAAGTCACTGCTATTTAGTGTACGTTGCAAAACGTTTTCTTGTTTGAAGACTAGATAACTATATTTACCTGTGAATCCTAGAGTACTGAGGAACTGTGTTATTCAAACTACTACAACTTGTCAACGCAGCTGTATCCAGCAATATCTTTTATTATATAGAAGAATTCCGTCATTAATAATCAACGTAGAGCTTAACGAGGTATGGGTTCGTTTACGTTATCATATCTAACCAGCACAAGATGAAATTAACAGGATAAACAGCCAAGGAGTTAAGATAATAGTAATATCAATAATGGCGAAAAGTATTTGGCACTGAAAGTTGTGTAGTAGTATGGTTTGTCTGGTTTGTCAGATAGCAAGTTCACACTAGTTGTTAAGCTCTGACCGTTGCTGCAACCTTTACGTGGTGGTCGGGTTTGCCTATCGTGATGAACCAGTCGAGCTATACTGGTTGGAATAATCGTTCCTCTAGGTCTTACCATACCAGACAGGTCAGTTGAAGAGCGGTAAGACTAAAAGCAGCAAGTTCAAGGTTCGACGGCAAAGTCGTACTGCTAACTATACAGAGGTATGACAGCAGTAAGGTGTTTCCTTTAGACAACCAGCATGACAGCGATGCTGCCTTCACACAAGTAAGGGTGGGGTTAGAAACGGTCGACCCTAAAAGTGCGCAGCTCGCCTTATCCCACGAATATCCGTCTCCGGCGGTAAGGTCCCAACAAGTACGGAGCTAACATAAAAATTACCCACAGAAAGGTCGTGTGCGACCGGCCTCGAGCAGTTATCCCTTGGACGCTGCGGTCACTCTCTCAGGTCACTAAGACCACCTCTAACCCAATTTCCTTTTCAGGTACCTCCAGAAGAAACCTACGATGTGGGCAACCGGGAAGTGATAACCGCCCTCATGCCTCTAACAGCACTCAAGACCACTCTTTTCATAATCAACCTCCCTCCTCAATTCCTACTATTCCTCCTACATTGGCCTTTAACTCTAAACTTCCTCTTTCGGCTTTCTCCTCAAGTGTCACCATGTACAACGATTCTAGTGCGCGAAACGCTGCCCCAGGTCTACTGGAACCTCGCTCCAAACTACACATTGAAGCCTTCAACGCACGCATCCTCTTTAGCTGAAACCCTAGAATCTCATACCATTGATGTACGCTGTGTCTCCGAAACACACATACAGAATCCTAGTGTGATCATTCACTTGACCTCACCTCGGCGAAACGGAGAGCCGACGAGATACACCCTCCGTTTATCTGGCGACCCGATGGCTAGTTCTCGTGGACTGACGGGTGTAGACATAGCACTGAGGACGAGGGCAGAACAAGCGCCATTAGAATGGATCCCCGTTAACAGTCGTCTATGTGTTGTTCAGCGGAACGGCTCCGTAAGAATTCGGGAGGATAGAGACATACGTTGTTTCTGCCTACGCTGTCACTGACTGCAGCTCGGATGAAGTGAAAGATGACTTTTACAGAAAGCTCTCTGAACTTCTTCAAAAAGCTAAACGTGCAGACATAGTACTCGTAGGAGGTGACTTTAATGTCCAAGTAGGTAGCTTAAACAAAACAGAAAGACATTTAGGTGGGTATTTTAGTATTCTGGCACAGCGAACAGATAATGGTGATCGTCTACTGCAACTGTGCCCAGACGATCGTTTATTTTAGAAAACACTAATTTTAAGAATAAGAAGAGACATCGTCTAACATGGCGACCCCCTGCACCAAACCAACGATGAACTCAAATAGACCATATTGCCATCAGTCATTGTTGGAGAAGCTCGATTGAAGACTGTCGCTTGTTTTGAAATACCTGTTTGGACTCCGATCATGCTCTAATACGAGCACACATTTGCTTGGGCCTCGCTGGACGCAGAAAAACCACATTAAGGAAGACCCATTAGAGTTGGACTCATTGACGAAAAGCCAAAAGTAGATTCCAGGAACAACTGAGGTCACACTTAGGCAGTTCTGAAAACGAGGCTGACCCAGATGTTGCTTGGAAAGCTATACAAACAGCTGTGGAAACAGCAGTGACATCTATTAGTGATTTGGACCAAAAGGTCACGAAAAATCAATGGATTTCCACTAAGTCTATTGCACTGGTAGATTCTCGTGAACTTATCCCATCTGGCTCCGAACACGATAAAGAGTGGAAACAAATCATATATAGGTTAACCAAAAGTCTAAGGAACGATAGTGAGCAGTGGTGGGCAACGAAAGCAAAAGAGATGGAAAAGGCAGAGACCGTAGGTAACACCAGACAGCTTTTCAGACTAATAAAAGAAACTGGAATTATTAAGTCGATTGTAAGTGAGACTATCTCGGAAAAAGAAAATACTCTCATCTCCTTTCAGTTCAGACATTTAGAACGGCGGGCGGAACACTTTAAAGAGCAGTTCAGCTACTATACAACTACCCACCATTCCCAAACAGCCTGAATGGAACATTGAAGTAGGTCCCCCGACTATAACTGGAGTTCAGAAAGCCATAGCTAATCTGAAAAGAGGAAGAGCAACTGGTCCAGATAGATTGACTCCAGAAGTGTTTAAGGGTGGTAGTCCGGTTTTAGCGACTAGGCTGACTAATATTTTAGCTAAAATCTGGGAACTGAATGGAACCCCATCTGGCTAGTTGCGATCACTGATTGTCCCACTATATAAGAAGGGGTCAAAGTCATCCTGTAATAACCATGGAGGGATTAGTTTGACTAATATAGCATCTAAAATACTAGTCTCAATAATTACCGGATGCCTAACAAAGACTTGTGAACTGGAAACATGAGAAAATCAGGCTGGCTTCAGACCTGGTCGTGGCTGTATCGACCATTTATTCATCATTCGTCATATTTTGGAATGCAAGTATGTTTGTCGGCGTCCGACGATGGTGGTCTTTCTTGACTTAAAAGCAGCATTTGATTTTATAGATCGAAAAGTTCTGTGTCAGTGTCTGTTATTGAAAGGTGTACCTCAGAAGTACACAAACTAGTCAAGTCAGAGTTTATAGCGAACTATCATCTGATTTTGCAACCTTGTGTAGTTCCGTCAAGGCTATCCACTATCTCCATTTTTGTTCAACTTCATCATAAACCTAGTGCGGAAAATAACGTTCTCGTCGACTGAATTTTCGTGCATTGATCTACCAAGAGGTCCACTTATCGACTTAGAATGCGCAGATGACATAGTCGTGTTTGGTGAGGGCGCTGGTAAAATGCAGTCTTTTGGTAGCACTGAGTAACAACGCCAGAATGTTTGGGATTCGTTTCTCCTTCTCTAAATGCAAGTTTTTGCTTCAGGACTGGTCTGCGTCAACACCTGAATTAAGGATAGGGAATGATGTAGTCGGACGCGTCGATAACTCCACTTATCTTGGAGGTCTGATCAGCCGTAATGAGTTGGTGTCTGCTGAAATCTCTGCGTGGATTCGAAAGGCTCTTTTGGCTTTTGCCAACTTACGTCACCTATGGCGAAGGCGAGACATCCGTCTATCAATTAAGGGACGAGTATACTGTGCGGCAGTTCGTTCTGTTCTACTTTATGGCTGCGAAGTGTGGTCATTAAGAGTATAGGATACTCGTAATTTACTAGTATTTGATCACAGATGTCTTAGAAATATTGCTGGCATCTGCTGGGTTCACCGGGTAAGTAATATTAAGGTTAGACGCAGGGTATTAAGGAATGGTGGTAAATCAGTTGATGAGGTTGTGAATCCTCATAGACTAAGATGACTGGGCCACGTGTTACATATACCTGAACACCGATTACCACGACACGCATTGGCTCAGAATCGATCACAATGGAGGTGTATATACTCTTTGTCTTACCTTAAACCGTGAGATTAAAATTACTTTATACCTTTCTTTTTACGAAGTAATTCTTTTTTCCTGTATTATATCCTTATACACAATCTTTCTTTTATACATTACTACCATTGAAGTAATTACTTTTATGAATTTGGTGTTCACCTTGTTGTGCTAACAAGGTATGGCAACTTGTACTGATGTATATATGTGCCTGGTCCCACCTTGATCGCAACTCTTATATGAAGTTAAAATCACTATATAGCAGTGTACATTTCGTGTGCACTTGTATTTGCAATAAGTTTAGGTCGGTTTCAAACATTATTTTGAAAAGCCATTTACAGTTTGCTAGGTTTATTTAACTTCCTACAAGAAAGTTAGGAATGTTTCTTTTTTCTGTGGTTCTCTTCGAATTATCCTTCCTCAGACCGCTTACTGTTACAATGCGATTCTATAAAGTGGATGAACATGATTTGGTAAGATGTAGTTTTGGCATATTAAAGATAAACCATTTAAAATACTCCACCTAAATGTCATAGTGATTCAATTGTTTATTCCTCGTAGACTTTTATAGTGTGTATACTGGCGAAAAAAGTCCCAAGTTTGCATTTTTAGCTCATTAAGACGGGTATATCGACATTTTGATGTATATCCAATATATTATACTATTTTAATTCACTTATTATTAAGTTTACGTTTTGTTAATTGTATTCCCCTCCTCTCGTTTGTTTAATCGTAATCGTAATTCTTTATTTATGTGACGCATACTCATTATGCTGTCCAGTTCTACCAGTATTTGTCTCAAATAGGTAAAGTATGATCTGGGTCATGTATCTGGCTCTTACACAAGCACAGTTCGAGATCTAATAAAATGAACATGTACTCCGTTATTAAGTCGTGTGATAAACTTATGTGCTTATAGTGCTTGTATATTCAGAGTAGTCATGAAATATAAAAGAATTTCTGTCATTTCGTGAGTTTCTTTTTCTTTTTCATCAGAAACGATAAGGATAACTTTGCACTATTCTTGGAAATTCTGATTCTTTGTACATAATGTTTAGTAGTAGTGTTCTTCAGCCAGCCAGTTACATGGAACTAATTTTCTAAAAAAATATTTGCGATATCTTTTTACAGTTGTGTAGGTCGAAAATATCTAGTCATGAGTAATTCAGATTTTGGTATTATTGCTTTGGAGATCTATTTTCCAAAATTTTATGTCTCCCAACATGATCTTGAAGTAGAGGACAAATGTGTGGGAAAGTATACTCAAGGATTAGGACAAACATCTCTTGGATTTTGTTCAATACAGGAAGATATAAATTCAATGTGTCTAACTGTTGTGAGCAACCTTATCAGGCGTACAAATGTTGACCTGAAAACAATTGGTTTTCTCGAGGTAAGTAATTTGCTGTTCTTTGAAATACCTAAATCGTATGTTGTGTTTCTTAATTTTATTTCGCTAATATATGGAAAAATTTCGGTGAGGCTATCATTGAAGCTAGAAGAACCTTAGTTTGATATTTGAAAGTGTATTCTCACTACTTAAGAAAATAAGTTAAATGTGAACGGTTTACAGTGTCCATATTTTGATTAAATTGTCAGTTTTCGCTTCTAGACAGTAATTTTGAGTTGGAGCAAATGACATAACGCCCTGACACTGTGGTTTAAATTCACCAGTAGTCAATATAAACATTCGCCTCTTAAAAGTGACCTTTCGAAAGATTATACATATTTCTTACGAATACTTCTTAGTTGTATTTATTCTTTCTGTCATACTTATCGCATCATAATACTACCATCTGCAGAAAAATATCATTGTGTGGACACACTTTAGTGAACAGGAACACCCGTGGGGACAATCGAATGTATTTAACACAAAATTACTGAACTTTTTAATAAAATCTAACAATCATAAAATGAATGCTTAATTTGCAAAATGTCCACCAATTGTCTCAAAATGACTCGGACTTCATTGTTCTTGCATTTTCATACAAATCGCATCCTGTTTCTATATTTTACTGTTCAATCCTCTTGTCTCTCTGCTGCCAGACCTTCTGTTCACGACTAACATCATATACTACTTATGTCAGTATAAGTAGCACACACCACAGTGCTACTTGTTCTTAGCAATCGATTCGTGGATTACGTTCTTAGACGTTATTATGTCAAATAACGTTTGCGTTTGTTTACACTTTAATTGATCTCGGTTTTAATAGGATTAGTAACTAATCATAGTTAAATTATAACAGTCAAATCGCTTACAGAAATGAGTACTTTCTTATGTACGTATAATTTTAAGCAATAAAAGTTTCTGTGTTTAATTTGTAGGTTGGAACAGAAACGATTATAGATAAATCAAAGTCTACAAAAACCGTACTAATGCAATTATTCGAAACAGCTGGTAATTTTGACGTTGAAGGAACGGATACAAAGAACGCGTGTTTCGGTGGTACCTCTGCTTTGTTCGGTGCGCTTAACTGGCTTGAATCTAGTTACTGCAATGGTGAGTTGAATAAACTTTATGCACTATCACGATAGTCCCTATCTTATTCTAAAACCAAATTAACGTCGGTTAAATGCTTTTATCATTTTAATCCCAGGTCCAATGTTTCACTGTCTTTATATATCTATTTTTTCAAGTATTAAGCTTCCTTAGGTCTTACACGATAAGTATGGCTCAAAATTTGATCCGTTAACCCGAATTCAGTCCTTGATTTGTGTTACTATTTGATTTAGTCTCGGCAAATCGATAATGTATGTGTTGTACTTGATAAGCCTAATGATTTGTTAGTCGTGTATATTATAAAAATGTGAAGGATATAACTACTGCCTAAAACCGTTGTAAAACCCCAAATACATTAAGGTTTTAGAGGTGTTTACGGAAGGAAGTATTAAATTAAAATTTAAAATCAATTTATAAAACAGCGTATCTAAAATCAGTCAGTTTGTTTTTCATTTTTCATTTTGTCTCATTCCAGTGTTACTGTGTTTCTGATCTCTGCATTTTTTTTCCATATGAAGGCCGTATGGCGTTGGTTGTTGCAGCTGATATAGCAGTTTATGGGGATAAATCAGCTCGTCCTACCGGTGGTGCGGGGGCTGTAGCAATTTTACTCGGACCGAATGCTCCTTTGGTGATTGATTTTGGTAAGGTCTTAACTTTTAAAGATTTGTTGAGTAGATACTATGGTGTTCCAGCTGTCTTATGAAGATTTATATGCTCAGTTGTTTTTCGTAGAGAGAATGTTTTATGATATCACTCAAAATTTAGGTTTCCTTGATTGCAAGCATCTATTAGTTAGATAGTTGCTATAATCAAATTTGAACTGCATTCAAGATTATGAATGAGAGTTTTCATCATTTCTAGGAAAACGTTACATTTGGAACATTTAGTTTGTGACGAATTTTTACCGATCAACGAGTTTAATAACAATAAAATAACACTGCATCACGAGCTTCAAGTTCCCAATGTTAACACATTTGTTACTTTCTAGTAGTATACATCAATATAATAAAAACACACTGGTTATCATTCATTATGGAATGCCTAGTACTGCAATTGAAATTTTTTAACTATTATAGCGTTACAGATTTCACATGATAAATATGTTTATCACGTAGCTTTTACGAGATAGCATTATGATGTTCTTTGTTCGTTATTGTATAGATTGTGTTAGCTTTTGGTTTGTAGATTTTATATCAGTATCATTCTAAAAACAGTTCTCTCTTTCAGCATGTTGGCGTTTCTTGTATAATAATCTTTAGAGTTTAGATATTTGAAGTATTCTGCGTTTTGGTGTTCTACTCAATTGTTATATCTTTTGGCCTGTTTATTATCACGTTATAAGATCGCCAATCGAAACACGACTTATACAATCTTAACACTGTACTAAACCAATAATATGTTGACCGGTATAGGAAGCCTGCAGTTCTTATTGGTCCTTTTCACCTAGCCCTGCCTATTTAGTCCAGAACACAATCTCAGCCTCCACTGTATGATTAATGTATTTCGGACATACCTAGCAAACCGGACCGCATCACACCATAAATTGAAAAATGACATTTATATGAGATCAAACCAAAAGTGACTGAGTGTGAAAGACTGTAACTAATAGATTGGGGCTACCTTAAGGATATCAAATCGTATAACAGTAGTCAGTTGGTCAAATGGAAGCTTATGATAAAAGAAATACGAATATGCATATATAATCTAGTTACTTAATAGTTATCCAATAGGAATATATGTAATAATAGTTCATAAATAATTCCTAGTAGTTACCATCCATTTATTCTTCGTTCGGATATAGCAGAAATGGAATAGTAGCAATAATAAGTTGAACGACTAAGCCTTTGGAATAAGATTTGAAAAAAACAGATTAGATAGGTATATATGATATGAGGGAATAATGCAATTCAAGATCGAAAGATGAACAGTGGATGAAAATAGTTGATGCATAGTTGGAATGCTAGAATTAGTGTTATCGTGTTTATGTTGGAGATAGCCTTTAATTTGTTATCTGTATCAGCTGCAGTGATTTTGGGAGAATGGGTATATTGGCTCACCAATTTGTATCAATACGTTATCGAATTTTTTTTGATGAGTTGAGTTCTTAACAGGCTGAATTATACTTTCCTGTTCTGATCGCCGATTTGTGTTGGGCATTTAGCTCTATTATTTTATCAACTATATGATTTTCATGATGTAGCCAAGTGATAGCTGCTCATAAGGCCAAATTATTAACTTAAATCACTGAATGATTTGAAAAACGATCAGATCACTAACCAGAAGAATAGGTTTCTTGTGTAAAAATAAATGACGTGGCTATTTATAAAGTATTAATACGAAGATTAACACAATAAAATAAATCTTGAAAGTCTTCATTAACTGCTAAGAAAAATTTAGGACCGATTGTGTTGGAAGAGATAATCAATTTTTGAGCAAAAATAGGCATATTCGGTTATAGGAATATAAGTGAATATTTTATATATCACTCGGATTTCATTGTATTTATTATGGAGTTCACGTTATTTGACTGCTTATAATTCATATCAATAAACGGTTATTCCTGCTCATAATCCAGTTCTCAGTCGTTTTTCAGAATTGTATATCATGTGATCTCTAATCTTGTGGTGTAATTACCTAGCATTATGGTCTAGTGTGTCTACTCTATTATCTAGTGTATCAAATCGTATTGTCTATTAGTAGGTGCATGTACGTGACACTCCTGTTTTTTTTTCAATGCTATAACAGAATATTATTGAAAAATCATCATAGAACACTACAAATCACTGCCGAGTTGTCTTGTTATATCTATCATATTGTTAAACTGATTTACTAGGTACAGATTAATGTACTTGGCTTGGAGTCACACTCTAAGCGCTTACAGCTAGTGATACTACCTGGATGCCTGGACAGAATTAGGTGCAGTTGGATTCGGGCCTACGACGTGGTCATATGTCTCAGCTGCTGAACTACCACTGCAGATTAATCACTGTATGTAGTCAATATAAACAAATAAATGTATACCTCACTTAAATTACAGATCAATGTAGGTCTTTGTAAATGAAACAGTTTGTTATATAACAGTAATATTTTTAGCGTATAATAGGACTTTCAGTACTGTCTTCATTTATTTTGTCAAGGTCTACGAGCTGTTTATATGAAACATTGTTATGATTTCTACAAGCCAAATTTAAGCTCTGAATATCCTATCGTTGATGGTCAGTTTAGTATGCAGTGTTATCGAGAGGCATTAGAAATGTGTTATAAATTATATCGACACAAATCAGCTTCTAAAGGTAAACGTGTTTTAAATTATCCTGAGTATGCTGCTATTATTATTATTATTATTATTATTGGTACGATTACCACTTAATATTCAGAAATTATCTTATTGCATAACTACTTCCCATTCATCTCTATATTCTCTATGAAGATTATTGAATTTCATTGAGGTCACAAACCGATCAACGTTAGACCACCATTCAGAACCTTTCGATGTTACTTATTAATTAATATCTTTATGACTATCTATTAATCGTCGATAAACAGTGTTATTCAATCAAACGTTTGTTGACTTCAGTTGACTTCAATAGGGTTTATTAGACTGTTTATTGGCACATTCCAGTACTGTCTCTCATATTCAGTCGCTGAACTCATATCCGAAGGCTTTTCCAATTTTCTGTTAGGTCTAGTTGAACCCATTCACGTTGTGATTATTTTACTTATATTTTACTCCTTACCATCAGTTAGAGAATACAAGGTCGGTTTCGAAAGTATGAAGTGTAAGTGTAAACAAGCTGTACTGATATGGTGATGAGATTGTGAGTGAAAACAATTTTATGACTGTTTTTAAATCGTTTCATCAAAAACCTTTCAGCGAGTCATTCTTCAATTCATGATATTCATTGTATGAATGATTTTCACGTATGTGAATATAAACTTTTTTGTGTACTTTGTAAAGTCAATTCTTCTTTATTTGTATTTACACAGTACTAGTGTGACAGTATCATTTTTAGATTTTATAAAATAAACTGTTTGTGATTTACATTTTAGGTCTCAATAGTATAATAACAACACCTTGGCGAGATACTTTACCGAAGGTGAACAATGCAGTAGACTACATGTGTTTGCATGCACCATTTACTCGTCTTGTACAAAAAGCAATCGGTTGGTTAGCAATGATCGATATGCGTACAGAAGGCATTATTGCAGATACATCAAACAATTCTGATGTATTCTTATCATCCTCAAAAGCTGGTCAATTATGTCATAATAATCATCAAATGACGTCGAAATCAGAGTATTTTGATCAGATAGACCCATCTATTTTTAATGCTTTAAAAGATTACCGTTTACCTGATGATAAACAGTAAGTTTATTATTTCATGGTGATATTAGCAATTGTATTATTAGTAACAGTAGTAACGATTTTCTATCGTTTTAAGCTTCCCAATTAGTTTGAAAGCAGTTGATCTCATAATAATGTAGTCAGTCACTAGTTAAACAGTGACTTAAAATTCGCTTTCATCAGATGTTTGGATTTGAATGACCAAAATCTTTATAAATGAAAAAAACCTGTATGAATGAGGTTCACCACGAATACAAATATCAGGAAGTGGAACTTAGCCTCAGTCGTCCAGTCAGGACTGACTTTTTAGCTTTCAAAATTTAGTATTTTGAGTGTCGATTATTGAGAGGTGTTATCAGTCTTAACTTCTGACAAGTTCTGGAGTAGAATGGAGTAAAATAGTCGTTGGGTACTTTCTGATTTCTAGATTTAACTCTCACACACTAGGTTATAGGTTCGAACTCCGCCCCGTCTACTTTATTTTGGGAAACGGGTTAGGGTTAGCATCAGTATCTTCCACATTTAGAGTGTGACTCGAAGCCAAGTAAACTAATCTGTATCATCTGGTAAATTAGTGCCCCTGATTTTCGAATGTTGCTTTCACTTTTATTCAGCGATTATGATTCGTGTATTGCTTACTGACTAACATTTTTGTTATTTGCTTTAGTATTCCTGATCGCCAGTTGGATACAATTTGTTTGAAAGCTACTGAATCGTTGTACAGGCGTAAAGTAGATCCTGGACTAATGTTCGCTAAAAATATTGGAAACATGTATACTGCTTCTCTATATGCATGTCTTGTTAGTCTTCTTCTTAAGTGAGTAGTTTATTATATTGTGTTGTTCTTGAAATTTTCCTCACTGAATATTTTGCTTGTGTATTAAATCGATCATTTTATTGGGAAACTAAATACAATACAACATTAAAAAAACACGAAGTTCAGCGAATGGATCTTTTTTCAGTGAATTTATTAACGAGCTGTACAATCGTACTTATATGAAAATTTTGTTAAAGTATTACTTCCGTGAGTACATATGAACAAGAAGTAAACACGATAGGGATAAGACCTACTTCTCCTGTACACACAGTTCTGCCTTCAAATCATGGAGCAAGAGCTTCTGCTGTTTTATGGAGTTGGGTACGAAAAAATCTTGCTAGGCTTTGACGAATTGTTTAAAGAACCTTAAAATCAACCTGTGGATTAGTGGAGTGATTAGAGTCGATTAAATGTTCAAGAACGAAACATATAACTGCTTTCCCCTCACCCTTGTAGAACCACACTGGGAAATGTTTTCGTATCCGATTTGAAAGCAAGCACTGGCGGTGGCCAATGTACCTTGTTTCGCAAGATCAGGCGATCTGGTAGATGCACATAGAGGTAAACAGATGAGGAAGCTTATCCTTTGCGGATACAGAAAAGTTCCTACTAGTTAAGATTGGGCCCAAAAGAGACTCTGTTGCGATCCCATCTCTTGTCTATATATTTCATTGCTGAAACTGAACTGGACATTGAAGGTACAATGTAACAAGAGTTCTTTGAAATGGTCAATCGACTGGCCTATATCTATGTTATTAGAATCAATATAATCATATATCTGACAGTTTCAGTTATAGGTACTCTGGTGCACAGAGAACCAAAGTCAAGCGAGAAAATGAGCTTTCCGGAAGTATTGGCATCCTTAATATTATCAGTAACAAAAATCATTCATAATATATGTACGTAATAATATTCCTTCAATGAACCTAGAACCCATTTTCCAATAAGAGAATAAAGGGAAGAACAAAAGTCCTATTATAGCTAAGATTGACTCTGATGTATTATGGAATCTGTGGGTACCTCAAGAAAAGTTTGATGTTTAGTTGATAATCACCTACTAAAGGTAAGTTCTCCTCCAGGGGTCTAGGTTCGACATTAATACTCTTAGATAGAAAAAATTTTGAGATGGCTTTTCGAAAAATCCATTTTCGACAGATTTTGATCGGATTTCCTGAAATTTTGCATAAAGAATGTTACTTAATTGTACGTACTGGTTAGGTATGTTCGCATTAATTATAGCTTTCATTGTTTAATTCAGGTGTGTTTGTAAAACGTAAGTCATAGTTCTTACTGATTGGCAGGATTTAGCTTACAAACATTGGAGTTGCAGAACTATGTTTGATCAATCGTTGAATTGAATGAATTGATGCACTAGAATGTAAAATTGGTTTTTGTTCTGATTTTCCTATGTATATGTTTATTCCGAAGTTTCGTTCCACGGATTGATTTTGGTTAAACAACAATTGAAAGCTGGAATCAGTGTACACTAAATGATGGTCGTAAAATATCACCAGTTAAATGATATTAGGACCTGGACTCTTAACCTTTTACCTTCTGACTACTGGGTCGGTATACAATGGCCCATATTTCTAACTTCAGCCAATATATATATATATATACCAATGTAAACTGTTTAAGAAATAATTGTTAAGAATATTTATGAGTTTAAATGTTCACTGCTAGGTCTAAAGGTCCTCAATGTGGTCATTGATCTACTTTACCGTGGAGTTTCGTAATAGGACGAAACAGTTGTCCACTGCTTCCTGGCTTTCACTTGTTGTTTAACTAAGATCAGTCTGTGATGTGTAACGTCAAAATCAATAATCTCCTCAACGCCCTATATTTGCATATTTTCTCGATTTTCACATTCTTGTTTCTATAGTATGTTGTTAGTTGATTTGACTATGTTGAGAACTAGGTCTTTTTTAGATCTAAAAACTAAGGATATTTTTGCTTGTATTGAGTTTACATCTACAATTTGTGTATATTAAGAAAAGAGTATAGAAATGATTTTTTTTTCTTTTTCAAAAAGTCGTTTTACGTGACGGAACAGTTAAACAAATATTCCACAATGAAGAATTGAAATTTTCGTTGTCTGATTTAAATTTCGAAAAATAAGTTTTTTGAGTTTCATTTTACCCATTAAAATTAAAACTACTAAGATCTGGGGTTATTCTTAACTGAATGTTTATACGTTACTTTAGAATATAATCAATAGTTGTTTGTTTTATGGATTGTGATACTTTGCCATTTATTTTGTCTATCGAATCAACCTGCTTATCACAGCACTTATATAATCTCAGTGAAGTTGAATAACTTTATTGAGTTATTTATTTCACATAAGACCATTTACATACCAACCATTTGTATTTAGCTTTGAAGGATACTGGTTTTTAAATAAATTTCTGGCACACAGTAACCTAAAAAAATTGCCAAGATAAATTAGTTATGTAATTTAATAGATTAGTTACATTTTTTAATTATATCAGTTTAACCTTAAGATATTGTAAATTGTGTGCTGAATAATTATCTAGTCCAATTTATTGAAATCAGACTATTAATAAGTGTTGATAAAATATTTTAAAATCAGTGCATTCAGATATAGATTACGGTGTATAATAAATCTTCATCTGTTGTCCTTTCCTTCCATCTTTCATTTAGTTACACCAGTATTTTGTTCAGTTATAACAGAATCAGACATGATTTATATCAAGAAATGCTATATGAAACGGTGAAACTGAACTATAAGGTCATTTCAATAAAGAAAGATCATATCGTTTCATAGTCACGGTATATATATCAGAACACAATTTTTTCTATCACACATAAACGGCTAATGACGAAAACGTCTGTAAAAGCTAGGGTTTGGATTTATGTTTTAGTGTTTGAATTAGGATAAGGATTTAGACGAATAGTTCGCGATTCAGATGAAAGTACATATAAACTAACCGTAAAACAACCGTGAAATTTAACCACAGTCGTTAATCCTAATCTTATATCTTAAACTCTACCTTTCTAACCATAAATTATTCACTCACAAATTTAACTCACGGGACTGTGATGTAAACTAGCTAGATATTCAGTAATAAAATTTAATGAGGCAAAATATATATTGATATTTATTAGTACAACAGTTGAACTAGTAATTAATACTTTGTGAGTCAAACAGTGGACAACATAATATTGAAAGGACAGAATAATGTAAGACTATCTATACAAAGAATGATAAGTATTAACTTCATTGTCTATTGTCGATGTTCACATCAAACGACAAACACACATTATACTTTCTACTCATAAGTACGATCGAACACAGATTCATTGAAGATAATTGGAACGAAGATATCAATATTAGTACAGATACCTAGAAAAACCAATCCGTTTACTCCATTCAACGTCTGACTACAAAACAGTCAGTTTCGATCTTGTGTAATTATTTTGGTTGTGAAAAGTGCACTACATACTTGCGAACACTGATCATTCATGATTAAGCGTGATTTTGACAGTTTGTGAATTCATATACACCTATATGCATGCTTAACCTAGTTCTCACTTGAGGATATCAATACTTATTCTACAATCCACATATTTTTACACATCTTTTCTTCATCATACTATCAATTTACAAAACTCATTACCACCACTACTACTACTACTACCTATTAATCACACACAGTAGTAAATAAAATGATGACCAGTAAGATAAATAGTAGTAGCCCATGCATATTGAACATGGAAATCTAGTCGTGGTAACAATATAAAACAAGCAACTAGCTTTCAATACTATTCTAATTATTATCATTATTATCACTATTATTATTATTGTGTTACTATGACTGGCAAAAAATATCATGCGAATAACAATTAGGGTTATTTTACAGTATAATTAAGAAACATGCATTTAACGTTGAAACATATTTTAGGTTGAAATAAGAACTGTGATATTTTTCTTACCTGTTATTCTCAGTTAGTTCATAATCCTTTAAACTGTGAATTGTTGGAAATATACTGTTTGCAAGTGCTTGATACTATTTATGTATTACATTTCAACATAATAAGTATAAAAGGTTTACCAGCGGTATTGATGGGACCGTATATAGACAACTAGTGATCAAAAATATTTGACTGTTCGTGTAATTAATCAAATGTATATGAAACAAGGTCATCTGCATGGGTTCATTGGTATTAATTTTAACAAATACCCAAATCAGCCAACAGAATAAGAGTCAATTATTTTATTGTCAAAGAAATCTCCTTCCAATATACTCGTTTTCCTGGATGGCTATTGTTTCCCAGTTGTAATTTTCCGTGTTTGATACAGATTGGTATATATCTCATTCATATATCCCAACTGTGGCTCACACTTGCATATTGTGATGATTCAATGTAACCATATTAGGTAAAATAACTGCTCCGTTATGACCTACTATCTCAGGCTGGTCGGTTGGAGAGTGAATTCTAAAAGCAGAAAATAATAGGTCTCAATAAAAATTTATTCTGATGACTGTATTGGGATTTGTTGTCCGTAGGGCGTCTTCACCGGACATCAAGCATCTACCTTCTCAAAATAGAAGAAAACTTTCAAAAATATTTGTCTTGAAGTTAGCGTACCCAACCTCAGTCCACGTACTTCCATTGGGATCGATAAGGCTTGAAAAGTGCGGGGCTTACACCCTACGAACTTCACGTAAAAGAACCACGTATGGCTGCTGTAAATCAGCTATCGTTTGGGCGTTGCTATTACACTTCCATGTCACCAAGATTACCCCTAACCCAGTTTTCTTTCCAGGTCCTTCAAGAAGAAATACCTTTTCATGTTGTGAACAACCGGGCGATAACAACAGGTCTCATAACTCAAATGGCACTTCGGACTTATTCACGTGTGAATGGATTACTGTTAACTCAATGTCCTCAGTTCTACTTTTTTCTCTCTTATTCTTAGTACTTCAAAAGCTGAACTATTAGGACGTCGTATACTAATGTATTCTTATGGTTCTGGAATGGCATCAGCTATGTACAGTATTCTTATCCATCCAGATCGTGATTTATCCACAATTTTGAATTGTTCACTAGAATCGTCCAATGGTTTGTCTAATATTCACAAACGTCTATTTGATGAGCGAACTCAAGTGACTGTTTCGCAATTTGAACTAATGCTTAAAGAACGAGAACTTTCACATAATTCAGGTAAGTACTTTTTGTATATATGTAATATAATCATAATTTTAACCCAAGTAGTAATTAATATTTGTCGAATAATAATAAAAAGTTTGACTTAGTAGTAAAGACTTAGTGCGATTGTTTTAGTTAACAATAAAAATAGATGTTCTCGTTTTCTTGGACTGTTATTCATGTGTGCATATATCTGTATGCCTTCACATCATGAACTGATCATAGTTAGAAAACGATTAAAACCAAGAAGCACTGACACAGCTGTTTCGTTTTGGCATGGAACTCCACAGTAGTGTTTTCCCACGATGACATGATATCAACTAAAAACATAGACTGACTCATGTTAAAAGTGTATACCTATGAATTACATCTCAATGGTTTAAAGATTAAGAGCTCTCTGAAAAATATAAAGCCCCTGAGTTTGATCTCAGATTGGTCTTCGAATACACACTGTAGATAAATAGCATATTAGGACGAAACGGATGTTAGTGCTTCTTGATTTTAATCGTTTTCTAACTATGATCAGTTGATGACGTGAATTTTGAAACTTAACAGCCTTCACAAATCTCTTAAGCTCAATAAATCTAACTAATTAATTGTTATTAATGTAGTGCCCAATAAATATAGCGATGAATATAAGCAAACTGTTAGTTGTGAAATTAGTTTCAACTTAATATGAATATTAAATAATAAATGTTTCGTAAAATGGCTCCAGTTGGATGTCGTTACCTGTTTTCAAACAACGTGATTAATTTTAATAGAATGTTCTACAACAGATCGGTTTATGAATTAATACTTTAAAAGCTACATATTTTATATTCACATCAAATGTCTTTGAAAATATTCTTTTAACATTTATCAGTTTCTTCATAACTTATTTTGTGAATACTGGAATGTCCAACCCTTTATAATTTCATAGATTTACATTCGTTTGTGAATTTTCCCTTAATGTGTATTGAAAACAAAGTCGAATTATTGTTAAAATGATATCGTTAACTGGTACATGACTACCCAAACGAAACAAATCCATAAATTGAACACATCTTACAGAATAGATCAATAGTCGTTTGTAGTGGAATCTGAAACGCACGCCTTATTCCCTTTCGGACGTGCCAACTAAATATACGTTCATTTCAGTGTTGATGTTCAGATTGGGGCTCAAATCCTTACAATTAAAAGGATTGTTAAGCAACGGTTAATTTTAATTTTCGAAATTTTTCATGAAGTGACGTTAGTATTCATTTTTTAAATAGTGATACGAAGTGATTGGTCAATCATCTGCCTGAAGTTATATAGATTATGAATTTAACTTAGCTATCACGCTAGTGATTTTTTTAATGTGAAAATGAAGTAGACTTAATTTTTTACAGATGATTTACTACCATTTTCATCATTCAGAGTCATGTGTCCTTTCAATGTTCCTTTATTTAGTTTTTTTACGGTATATTAAATTCATCCTGATGACTCACTCGACAAGATCGAATGAAGTCAACCAGTCATCTTATTTTAGTTTCTCTGACTATATGGGTCAACAACTATTGATTTCAGTTATAAACATGTATTCAAGGTGGAACAACCAGCAACGATAGTTAATATAGTGATTTCAAACAAGATAACAATCATTGAATGAATGATAATTATGTCAGTAATAAGCTAGCTAGTTTACATTCAATAAAATATGAACATGGACATTTTGTGGTAAATTAATTAACTACTCATAAGTAGGTATGTGCAGGATACACAAATCTCTCAAAACGTTCCGCATTCATTACCAAATGACAATGGCTAATACTATAGTCGATTTCATAGTAAATAATTTATGTTAAGAAGCGGGAAAAGTTTAAATCGCTAAAACAAAGCTTTTAAAATCTAGTTGTTGAATTGCCGTGTAATTTTGAAGTTTGTGTGTATGTTGTGTCAAAAATTTGAATTTAAAATCACAACCTACTTGGAATTCCAGTGCCGTTTTCAAATTTTCATAAAAGTATCTTTTGAAATTGTCTTTTTTGATTCAGTGGTTTGGTGGTTTGTGCATTCGAGCTTGAGCCACTGTCACTGGCTCGAACCCCGCCCTATCTATATCAGTTGGATCTACCATATGGTAAGATCACTAACTCTCACACGTAGAGTATGGATTATGGTCAAGCATACGGATCTGTACCTGGTACATACATTTATAATCATAATAATGATTTCCAACTTACATAGATAATTCGCTTGTTGTTTTACTCATATCTTCTCATTGTTATTTATTGCACAAGCAGGTGGCTATCAGGACTTAGTAGCTAAGTGGATAACGCGATGGCGTTTGAAACGGATGGTACTGGGTTCGAGTCCCGGAGTGAACATCAACTCTGGGGTGCGGGCACATCCAGCTGACGAGTCCCGAATAGGACGAAACGCGCGTCCTGGATTCCACTGTTAGCCACTAACCATCTTTGCTTACATAGATGATGTTTAGACTATATGATCTTAATTTCAGCTCCATTTGAACCAACATTTCGACCTGAAGGACTGTTTCCTGGTTCGTATTATTTGAAAAATGTAGATGGTCGTTATCGTAGATTTTATGAGAAATTATCAGAATGTTAAATGGTAAGTTAGAAAAATGTATCTTGTAATAATTTTTGTATCATTCAATTCCAATTTATCAACGTAAGTTCCCTCAAAATGTTGTATAAACTGTCAAAAGTCTGTTGGAATAAAAAAGTTACCTATGCCTACATTTAGATACATTACCATGATAAAAGCTCATTGACTTGTTTTAAATTTCACACAAACACTTTAAAGTTTGAATTGACTAAGAGGAGTTTTTAGATTGATGAAAGTGAGATATTTTCTCACATAAAAGTTGGGGTTGTATTCTTTTCTCGTAAAATTCTCTGTAGTTTTATCAATTTTTCGAAATGTCTCATCATTTACAGAAAGAGCTATTTCAAAGTAATTTGACAAAATGTAAAAACCTGGGTCTCTCTTCGTGATGTAACACAGCAATATCGTCTAGACTGTTGGAACGATAGTGAAATCAGTCGTGCTGATTAATTTAGTAGTAGCTTCGAAAATAACTGAGAGCTAGCGAAGTCAGTGACTGTTGATGCAAGTCATGTTTCCGTGCGAATGGAGGGAGTTGATGCTCCAAACCTTTTGGTTGTTATCTAATCAACGATCTCAAATAATAGTTAAATATAGGGAAGTGAAGACTTCCTGGAAATCGTTTTATCGGGCTCAAAATCATTTCCTTTCTTTGTGTTTTAATATTATCTTTTTCTGCATAGTTCGTTCTTTCATAGCCTTTCTTCGCGAGTCATATCCTCATATTTACAACCAGTAAAATGATATTATTTCTGCATCTTTGGTATTCATGTTGCTCTAAATTTCCTTTGATCATACTGATATGATTTGGCAACTTGCATCTCTGTATATCAGATTCCGCGTTAATGACTACTGACTGATTCCTATTCCTGTTCTTATTTCACAAAAACCTATAGTTTAACGGATAACTGTTGGAGAAAATAACTCAAACCATTCGATCATTTCCAGTTCTTATTTCAACCTAAAATATGTTTCAACGTTAAATGCATGTTTCTTAATTATACTGTAAAATAACCCTAATTGTTATTCGCATGATATTTTTTGCCAGTCATAGTAACACAATAATAATAATAGTGATAATAATGATAATAATTAGAATAGTATTGAAAGCTAGTTGCTTGTTTTATATTGTTACCACGACTAGATTTCCATGTTCAATATGCATGGGCTACTACTATTTATCTTACTGGTCATCATTTTATTTACTACTGTGTGTGATTAATAGGTAGTAGTAGTAGTAGTGGTGGTAATGAGTTTTGTAAATTGATAGTATGATGAAGAAAAGATGTGTAAAAATATGTGGATTGTAGAATAAGTATTGATATCCTCAAGTGAGAACTAGGTTAAGCATGCATATAGGTGTATATGAATTCACAAACTGTCAAAATCACGCTTAATCATGAATGATCAGTGTTCGCAAGTATGTAGTGCACTTTTCACAACCAAAATAATTACACAAGATCGAAACTGACTGTTTTGTAGTCAGACGTTGAATGGAGTAAACGGATTGGTTTTTCTAGGTATCTGTACTAATATTGATATCTTCGTTCCAATTATCTTCAATGAATCTGTGTTCGATCGTACTTATGAGTAGAAAGTATAATGTGTGTTTGTCGTTTGATGTGAACATCGACAATAGACAATGAAGTTAATACTTATCATTCTTTGTATAGATAGTCTTACATTATTCTGTCCTTTCAATATTATGTTGTCCACTGTTTGACTCACAAAGTATTAATTACTAGTTCAACTGTTGTACTAATAAATATCAATATATATTTTGCCTTATAAATTTTATGATCGCACCATTGCTCTGAAGTGTCCTAATATTTAGCAGTTTTTCAGTGGTTTCGTTGTTTAAATTTCAACCACTAAGCCACTAACTGTAACTCAACTTTACATGCGTTTTCTTGCTTAACCACTTCCTGTTATTAGCATTCTCACTTATAATGCTCTCGCTTAAAATCTGCTACGCTAATTCGTATGCAGTACGTGAGTTAAGATTAGAAATGTCTCGTTACTAAATTATCCTGACTATATGGAACTGTAATTACTCACCATTCTCCGGGACGCTTCTGTCTGCTATTGAAACTATCAACTATCTTCACTCTTCTCAATGTTTGTGATAAATAGTATAATATATTCTAAAAATAATAATTACAGAATTCACACCAGTTTACAGGTATGATCAATTTGATATAAATAATAACATTAGATGTAGAGAACAAATATGTGATATAAAATAGTTTTAAGTATACTAGTTCAGTAATTGTTAATGTAGTACATGTGTTATAGTGATCCAGTGCATCAGCCTTGATCTTTTAATTTTTCTTAAGTGGACAGCCTGTTGATTTATGAACGGTGTAATTAAGTTTATTCCTGTGCCAGATCGAATTAATGATAATTATCTACAACTAGAGAAAGTAAAACAAAAAACAGAGAGCACGAAACAACAAGGTAATCATTACTAAAATATGTCAAATAGGTCTACCAGAATGCATGTGATAGTGTTGATGTTAGATATTATTCAAATTAGTTAAGGTTGCTAGATACAGTGTTAACGTAAAGTGACACCAGGCAGCTGGTTTTACTTAAACAATTCACTAATAATAATATCACTTATGGAATAAGATACACTTACAGGTGCTAGAACATTCAATGCATTTTAAGAGGAGCAATATGCAGCGAACAAATAATGGGAATGATGTTATCGTACGGATAGATCATGGTAGACTATTCCAGAGTCTAGAAGATTTACAGGTAAAGTAATTCATGTAGAAAGATGATTTAAAATAAGTTTGTTTCACTAGTGACAAGGAGTTTTGGTTGTCGTAATGAGAAGTTTCGGCATATTGAATCACTTGATTGGATGTAAAGGATAGTTTATTAAGTATTTTGAAGAAAAAGATAAGATTTAGTTTGAGTCTCCTCCTCCATAAAGGGTCGAGCCCAAGTTTATTTCATCTAGAATTATAAGTCAAGGTACAATCAGTTCCAAGAATACGAAGTGTCAGTCAGTCAGTCAGTAACAACGTAGAACTTCGTACGTACGTACATCAGTTCGAGTTGCCACACCACATTAGCACAGAGATGCAGTTGTCGATTCAAATCCCGTAGTGGTAGAGGTAATAAGAGTATAAGCAGTAATCGGGAAGATTAGGGTTTGGAGATGTTATTTAAAGAGTATAATCCAGTGAAATAAATTTGGAAAGAGGAAAAAAGGGACATGAAGGATTCAGAAGATTAGAATTTGGGAGAACACAGAGAGTGGATGCACCTGCGCCATTGCAAACGATTTTGAGCCATGTCATTCAGGGTCTCTAACCATCGGTTGCTATCATCTCGCGGTCCCCAACCAGGTAGTCTACACCTACCAACATGACTCAGTTCACTTGTCAGTGACTTCATGGACTTGTGCCATGTTTTGGTTTGGCCGCCCCTAGCTTTCTTCCAACCTACTCCTATACCACTGAACATAGCACGTCGAGGCAGTCGGTCGTTGGGCATACGTAACACGTGTCCAAGCCATCTCAACTGATGAAGTTTCACTACGTCATCAATTGATTTGCCATCCTTACCTAGTACCCGTTTCCTAACAACTGTGTTACTTACTCGATGGTCCCATGATATACGAGCAATGTTTCGAAGACACCTATGATCAAATACTAGTAACCTACGGATATCCTCTACTCTTACCGGCCATGTTTCACTGCCATAAAGTAGGACGGAACGAACTGCTGCGCAGTAAACACGTCCTTTGGTTGATAGACGGATATCTCGCCTACGCCATAAATGACGCAAGTTGGCAAAAGCTAGTCGAGCCTTCTGTATCCGTGCTGAGATTTCGTCACACAACAACCACAAGGGCTGATGAGACTTCCAAGATAAGTGAAGCGGTCGACACACTCAACTACTTCACTCCCTATCACTAGTTCGGGTGTCGATGTAACCCAATCCTGAAGCAACATTTTGCATTTCGAGGGAGAGAATCGCATCCCGAACATGCTTGCATTGTTGCTTAGAGTGGTCAGAAGACTCTGCATTTTGTCAGTGTCTTCACCAAATAAAACTATGTCATCAGCATATTCTAAGTCAACAAGTGAACCTCCCGGTAGAAGTTCAACCCCTGGAAATTTAGATGAGGAGAGTGTTATCTCTAAAAGTACGTCGACCACAAAGTTGAACAAGAATGGGGAGAGTGGACAGCCCTGACGAACACCACTTGAGGTAATCAATTCTGATGACAGTTCGCCATAAGCTCTCACTCGACCAGTTGTGTTCGAGTAGAGAGCCTTTATAAGGTTAATGTACTTCTTTGGTACTCCTTTCAGTGACAAACACTGCCATAGAACCTCACGATCAACAGAGTCGAATGCCGCCTTAAGGTCGAGAAATACTACCATTGTGGGGCGTCTGAATGTGTGTCTGTGTTCTAGAACCTGACGTAGTGTGAATATCTGATCTATACAACCACGTCCAGGTCGAAAACCAGCCTGGTTTTCTCTAGTCTGCTCTTCACGAGCTTTAGTTAGGCGTCGAAGTATTATTGAAGCTAATATTTTAGATCCTGTATGCGCGTTTCGGAGACGCAGCACACATCGATGGCGCGAAATTCTAAAGTTTTAGCTAAGGAAGCCTGCTGTCCTATTTGGCAAAGTGTTCGTACGTTAAAAGCTCCTACATATAGTTTCGAGCGTGGTTTCAGGAGACCAGGAATGGCGTTCCACGTACTCGAATCGTTTGCCCTAGCGGTGCGAGGTGATAAAGAGACGTGAGGAGGGTTAGTCATGGAGATAAGAGAGGTGTTAGGAGGTGTAGGAAGGATTTGAATGTGACCACCTTGGTCTCTTGTGCTGTTACGGGTATGACGGCTGATGTCACTTCCCGGCTGCCCACACCGTGGAAGGGTATTTCTTGAGGAACCTGAAAAGGAAATTGGATTAGTGTTGGTCTTAACGACCTGGGAGCGTGACCGCAGAACCCAAGGGACAACTGCTTGAGGCCGGTCGCGCACGGCCTTTTTGTGGAAGGTTTTTGACGTGTTAGCTCCGTTCTTCAAAGGGCCTTACCGCCGGAAACGGAAATCCGTGAGGTAAGGTGAGGTGTGACATTTTTAGGGTCGACCTTCTCTAACCCCTTCCTTCCTTGCGAGAAGGCATCATCGCTGTAGATGCTGGTTGTCCGAAGGAAACACCTTACTGCTGTCACACCCCTCTACAGTCAGCAGTACGACTTCGCCCTCAGACCTTGAGTTGCTGTTTTTGGTCTTACCGTTCTTCAGTCGACCTGCCTGGTATGGTAGAACCTACGGGAACATATGTTCCAGCCAGTATAGCTCGTTTGGGTCATCACGATAGGCAAGCCCGACCACCGCGTCAAGGTAGCAGCTTCGAAGTGTAAGTCGTCTCTGTACTGATTCCAGCCTTAATTTATCGTTTATGCGCACACTACTAAGAGTAAACATGCAGTATTCTAGGAGTGGTCGAACACGAAGTTTGTACATTAAAATACGTGACTGATCGTTATAAAGGTTTCGATTTATGTAACCTATAAGACTTTGAGACTTGGACGTATGTTTCAGTATCGGTTCTTTAAACGACAAGTCATAGGAGTATCTAAGTCTACCACTCTATGTAACCTAGATAACAGTTCGGCATCTATGGTAAGATCTAAGTTGAGTGATGTATCGCCGAAGCGTATCCATCCATATTTATCTGTATTAAGCCCCAGTTGCCATTTTAAGCACCACTGTGCTAACTTGCTAAGCTCCATGCTGATGCAATTTCGCATATTTTTTAGCTCACGTGGAGAAAATGACTACACTACTTTAAGATCATCTGCATATAGAAAGGGCTTATCCACACAAAAACTTTCCCAAATATCATTGATAAACACTAAAAAGAGCAAAGGGCCTGAGACACTGCCTGATATTACACCACTTCTCACAGGGACAGTGCTAGACAATGAAGAGTTAATTTTAGCTATTTGATATCGGTTACTGAGGAAGGAATCAAACCAAACAAGCAAAGGGCTTTGAACCCCATAAGATGCGAGTTTACCTATAAGACGTTGGTGGCTAACCATGTCAATGGCTTTAGAAATGTCCAGGTATAGCACTAAGATTAGATATCTTTGGCTACGTCAGGAATAGACTAAAATAAAGAAGTCAAAATGACATGTCATACAAGGTCGATTTTTAAGAAATTCATATTGAGTATCATTGATAGATTTTCCAGCGAGTAATTAGTTGGAAAGTTCATTATTAATAGTTTTTTCCATAATTCTAGAGATAACTGGAGTAATATTCATCGGCCGATAATTGTTACTGTCAGTCTTATCTCCAGATTTGTAACGTGGTATAATGTACGCGGTTTTCTAACAGTGAGGGTAAGAACCTGGTTCCATAGAGAGAGTAATTGAATGTATAAAACTTGATGTATTTGATAAATGTTACTAGTCTAGTTGAAAATAACTATGTTGACCATACTCTTCTTTGTACTTTTGTAATGCGGTAGTAAATACGAAGTCAAAATGTTGAATTTTTTAATGAAAACGTTTTTCTGTAGACGTTTTGGTCGCATTTACAATATTTTGAGAATGTACTGAAGTCATTAGTCAATAGTTTTGTAATATGATTTAAATTATAGCAATGGTTTAATGGTTACAATATCTGGATATTAATTGTTAGGTTGCAAGTTCAAACGCTGTTTCATCTAGTTCACCATTGCCTTAAAATCATGTATGTAGTTCATGGCTGGCTAAAATAAAAAATACATATACTTATCCAACAAAGTTATATTACAAATGGAAGAAAGAACTTTCATGCAATATAATAGACCTTCACATACATATCACGATTTTCACAGTTGAAACAACGAGCCGATCGAGGCTAGACCACCATTGACAACGTGGAAGCACTGGATCGCCGTTTCGTTCAAGTATGGGACTCCCCAATGGTGCGCATCCACGGCCCCGCACGCAAACACTTAACCTCTAGACCACGAAACATCTGTCAAGTAATTCCAGGTTTTGAATGATGGTCTAGCTTAGATCAATTCATGAACTCAACTGTAAAAAATACTACAATCTCCACAAATCCTCATATATACTAATATGTCTTATACAAAGACGAAACATATACTCAACACATTCCGATTTTTCCACTGATGCACCTGAATAATATCAGTTAGTGTTGAACACATTCCCTACAAATGAAGTACATAAAATTAAGTAATCAACATGTTTATTTTTCATTCAGATTGTTAGTAATTTCGTTGATTATGTTTTTTCAATTAATTATATTTAAATATCTTATTTTGTTTCAACCATTTTCTCTCCATTTTATGAGGATTTCACCATAATCTTGGTACTCTCTGTCTATCAAGATTTATTGTAAAGAGAAAAAAACAAACAAAAAAAGTAGGCCTAAATGAAACAGTGATTATTTCAGTTGAACTCTTATCATATGTATGTTTAATTAAAATGAAATGTAATTAGCGCAATTCTTTATGAGTTATTGTTTTGTCGGAACATCAATCATTACTTGTCAATGATATCTTTTTTTATTGTTTTGTTTTAAAAAAATGAAAATTGAAGAAATGGGTAATAATTCACCAGTTTCTCTTTTCTTTTTTTTCTCACATACTTACAGTGTGTTCTTCACTTTTCTTCTCAATTTCGTCTTTTTACTTAAATAGTCAAAGAAATTTAGTGTATTTGTGTTGTTTTCATGGATTTTGGTTCGTTTTTTCTGTGTGCATGTGTTGTAATGCATGAAATGATGAAAAAGACTGTGCATATATACCTTATTTGTATGTGTTAGTATTACGAACAAATCTTTATTCTCATTCCATTTTAGTATGAAAACCTTTGTTTATGCAATATTTGTATGGCTTTAATGATTTAATGTTATTATTCTTCTGTTATAAAATTAATTATGTATCTCTATGCATTTATTTCTTACTGTACACTGATTAACGTGACAGTGTATAAATGATTGTCGATTAAAATCTAGTTTAGAAATCCAGGGTATTTTTTTACAGACGTAATGTCTCACTTATATTTGCGAGATCGTAATCAATGCTGAACGAGTCTCTAGTTTTATTAAAGATGAATTGCATATATTAGCCATGTGAAATTAAATGAATGAGTTCAGTTGGTTTCTGTATATTGGCTTTGAACATACAATAATTGTGTGAAATTTAAAAAGCCTAACTGGGGAAGCTTGCTTTTCAATATGATGTGTACTTCAAACCATGACAGATTCAACGATCAGTTTAGTGCTCAAGTTGTGGGGACAATGAACTGTCAACATATTGTGCATACATAAGAGGTTGAAGCTAGAAACAGCAGTTGAGATTAGGAGTCGAGGAGATACTGGAAAATGAAAAAGGCTTCGATTCTAACTAATATAAATTAGTATGCTTGCATAAGTGTCCAATTGGTTTACACTTCTCAGGCACCCACAGTATAAATGGACATTACTTTTTGAGGAACCTGAAAATGAATGGTTGGTTTTTTCGTTGTGGGAACATATTTAATGGGACAACTAGTTGAGGTTAGTGTCATATAATTTATTTCCAAGAAGTTTCCAACGTATTCTGTACTTTTTGGACACTATGGTTAATGAAGCAAGATAATTCGTAATATTTTTCTGTTAACTTGGTCATTATTTAAATATTTCCTAAACTGGTAGATCTGTTTCATAGTTGTATATAGCGTAAAAGTTAGTATTTTGTATAGCATATTTCAAATAATAATCATTTGAAGGATCAATATAATTACAATCAACAAAGGACAATTAATTGAACCAGCTATTTACATAATAATAATTTCACCAGAGAACAAAGAACCTCCATACTGATAGAACAACATGGTTACTTAAAAATGATACAAAGAACATGATAATAAGTTGTACATATAATGGACAAAATAAAATTTCACTTTCAATCGTATACTTTTATCTTTTGTAAAGTTAATAAACCACACATAAATATATTATAAAATGTTTGTCATTGTCACTTAGATGTATCATATATATATATATATATATATATATATATATATATATATATATATATATATATATATATATATATATATTGATTAAAGTTAGAAATTTAAACCTTTGGATTTCAACATGGTAATCCAAACGACCATAGATTCGTTACGAACTCTTAAGGTTCTGTTTTCAGCCCCGTGCTATGGTCATTGGTCCTTATTCCTGAAGGGTTTCATATCAGGGCCAAATAGCTGTTCAATTTTTGATTTTTATTAACACCCTGGTCGAAACAAATCCGTAACGAAAACTGCGTATAGATATCCTACATGTAATTGAAATAAGTTTCGTATATCAGTGAAAAACTTCAGTCAAGAAATGCTTATAGGACAAAGATAATACCATAATTAGTAACGTATAGCAATTCACATAAATTGACAAGAAACAGGAAGTTGACGAAATTTAGTGTTTAATGTTATCTCAGTAAATGTGTTTTCTACTTGTCAGTGGTAGAAGTGTTATATTGAAGTCAACATTATTTTTGATGAAAGCTATATTTCCATAGTTTAAATCACGTACTGTTCATAAATAAACCACCCAATTGGAAACCAGGAAGGACTGAGTAACTTCCATCCTAACATGAAACTCCTAAATCACATACATTCAAAACCCTATCTCGAATCATCAGATCTAGAGTCTTCAGTCTCATGATCGAACCATTGGGGTATATATATGGGGACTTGTTATAAAATCATGATTTTTCACTGTCATGTTAACAATATTTCCAAATCGGTTCACAAATTGTTTCCTCACAAGGTAAAGATTTTTAATTTTATATTTAAAAAATATCAGACTTAATCTTGTTAAATAACTAATAAAAAACCTTTTAAAATTAGCTAATTAAAAGAAGTACGTTAATTAATACTACCCAGTTGTACGTGAATTGCGTAATCAGACTATTTGTGTTATATATTATCACTTACTAATTACATATATTTATACATAACAGACTTGTCTCCACACTTCGGTATTCTAATTCACACAGGTGCATAAGAATTTCTTGAATAGGTAACAATCATTGTTTTTTTGTAACATTCGTCGAATCTTGTATTTTTCATCTAAGAAAGTATGTTATTGCATTTTTGGTTATGACATGCTGATCCTCTTTATTTGTATGCATATGTTTAAATCACGAGATTCAGATTTAAGCTAATGAATTTATCGCTTATCATGACTGACTGGCATAGGTTTAGATTGATAGAAAACAATTGGACGACCATAGCAAATCATGATATTAATTCATGAATACCTTAAATGTTGAACTATCCATTGTCGGTAAATGTAAACTTCTTTATTGAGATATACAGGATACTCGTGTTACCTGGTCAGCTATTTTGGGTGAATTGGCAAAGTTCTATTCCCCATCCATCCTTCTATAAATCTCCATGTAGATATCATCCCAAACTTTCTATTGTTCAATCTCACTTCTTTCATTTTGAAATGCATTTTACTTCTGCCTCTTTCAATATTATTTTACATCTTGTATTTCCCGGCTTTTCGATTGTGTTTAGCTATGCTGATGTGATTGTTCGGCAGCTTATACCCTTACACATTCCTCCATGATCCTAAGTTAATGATTATTAACTAACCCATTCGTTAAAATAGCTTAAAATCCTTTTTCTACGTTACAGTTTCATTTATTCTTTGTTTTCTTATAATTGCTGAACTTGCTATAAATTCCAAAATTTTCACATTTTTATTACGTTTCGTATCTTCATTTCTGTACATTTAATATTATATTCCCTTGTTTATTTATTATTTTGGCAGTTTCACAATAAAACGACATTAATTAATGAGTGGATTTTCGAATTTGCTGTTTATATAACCTGATAATTCACTCTTCTAATTTCCATACATTCATGAGTGAATTTGAAGATAATAATTATTATTTATTTAATCACATAAACATTAGTACAAGGAGGCACCAAATACATATGCGCCACATAAATCATCCGATTTGTGTGAGGGCTGGGATACTGCCCGGATGCCCAGACCGAAGCAGGTATTTTTCTTAGGGAGCCACTCCCCGAGCCTTGGACCTAAAGGTCTGACGCACAAGGCAATGGAGCATCGTGAGGAGATGCAGTCCCATGGTAGCCGGTGACCAACGATTGGTCCATACGCCATTTGTTCCCGCAGGATACTGGATCACATGTGCACCATTGGTTTGGTTTGGGATCCGGTTAAAGCACCGAACATTCGCTTTTCGTCCTCTCAATTTCGTAGACAACACCCGTGGTACGAGAAGGCAGTGAGTAGGACTTCCCTGGCAGAGGCTATATACGCGTGGCCGTGTGAGAGCATTTCGAGAGGGAGGGCGGGCCCGCCTCACTCTTGGCCATACCAGGGCATTGTAATACATAATAAAATATTGTAAACTAGACAGACAAGTCAAAGACAAAGAAACAAGCCAATCTCTGAGATTCAAGAACTCCAGAAAAGGTGGGTGGAGCACTTTGAATAACTATTGAATAGGCCAGCCTCATTGAATCCAACGAACATCGAAACAGTACACACAGACTTTCTTATAGAAGTCACTCCACCAATGATCGAAGAAATCAGGATGGCCGTCAATCAAATCAAGAGTGGAATGGTAGTAGGACCTGACACTATACCAGCCGAAGCACTAAAGTCAGACATAGAACTAACTGCAAGCGCGCTTCACAATATACTCAGGAAGATTTGGGAGGAAGAACATGTGCCGATGAACTGGATAGACGGAACATCAACTCTGGGATGCAGATATGTCCAGCTGACGAGTCCCAAATAGGACGGAACGCGCGTTATGGATTCCACTGCTAGCTATCATCCATCTTTGCTTATAAACATAAATAGATGAAAATAATTTAAATATAAACTAGTGTTTTTGATCACCTTTATATGTTTTTATAGGTTTACTTAGTCCTTGGGAACCTTTTCTGTCGATCACATAAAGGATATTCTTAATAAATGCATCTCCAAGCATTAATCACTTTAATTATAAAAAACGAAAGTAAATCGATAAATAGCTTATTCTTCAAACACCACACATTCTCACCATGTATTTCCAAATAAAGTGCCCTTTGAACTTATCTACAAGGTTAATTGAACCGCCTCAACACCAATATGGATCAATAGCTTTTACTGATAATAGGCTATATAATTTCGTTAACTCAAATATGAACTCTATGGTCAATTACTAAATCTCAGCATGGTTCTAACTTGATACACTGTTATGAGTACTTGCATGTTTGTTTACATTGGTCAAATGGATTATTAATTTTTTTACAAAGTATTTATAGTCTCTTCATTTCACTGTTTTACATCATTTTGTAGACAACTATAAATCTTCACTTGTATACTATAATCTCCTGATAGATTGATAGTGACGCAGCTGTTGTTAATTTTACTATAGACTGTTGTCTGTTAAATAACAGTTTCTTGTTATCAGTAAATGACATCTTTGAAAAGAAACAAATTTACTTCGCTTAACCGAAGTATATCATGGTATATGTTCTAAAATGTATATGCTATGCCAAATATTTATTCATATACTACTGTAAAATATTACTAATAATGTCATGAATTGTCAGTGTATTTAGCTGGATTAGTATAAGTTTACACTCGTTTTCAGGATATACGGTGAACCATATTAGTATGGCGGTTGCAGACTGACTGTAGGTAGTTATGGATACTGTCTCAATGGTCAAGATGTTGAGCTTTCGTGTGTGGAACTGAGGGTCCCAGGTTCGATCCCCGGTAACATGATCATGGATACTAACTTTTGAGGAGTCTCCAACTATCTAACTCAGATGTGTTCATGATTTCAATTGAAGAATATTTTCCCAGATTTTGTTGAAAAGAAATAGCTTAACACCAGCCAAACGAAAAATGCATGCATGCTTGTGTTTCAAGACTCATTAACTACCGGTCTATAACGAATCAACTAGGACCGAACCACCATTCGAATCAATTATTTTCAACGGATTTTATCTGGACTATGAAAAATGATCACTAGTTTCATAGATTACATACAAAATTTGAATGTGACAGAAGCTTTTGCCAGGTACAAGATAAAATCCCATTGCAATAAAACCTGTTGTCTCTCTTTTTCTCTTTGAAATCCATAAATCATAGATTAATACGACCGAATGAACATGTTTTTTTTAAAGACTTTATAAAACTTTAGTTAAAAGAACAAAAGTTTGA